CTACAGAAACCGGGATAAGCTCCGGCCTGATGGGCCACTTGGCTCGCATGCAGACTTTACCTTTACCTTGTTTGATATAGGCTCTCCAGTGTGAAGCGAACTGATTAAACCGAGCGCGGTCTCCGAAAGATCTCCCAGGTCGCGTTACGCACCCGACGGTTTTCCGCAATTTAGACCAAAAAAATCACTGGAGTAATTGCTTACTTCACAAACCCTTAAAGGTTATAGCTGAATTATTTACTCTTGCTCTGGTTTTCGATCAGTTTTCATTTCCTTCAGAACATTAGTTTAAAAAGAAAAAGTGCCATTAACACTTGGGCGCTCGGCTATAGCCCCAGGCTCACTCATATTTGATGTGCGTGTTGAGCTACTAGTTTCAAGACTTTTAACAGAAAGTTCAATTTAAACACGTAAGTAAGATTACATTATCTAAGTCGAGAATGGATGAATGACCTTATTTTGTTTGCCAAGTTATATATTCCTTAACACTCAGAACTTCAATGAGCAAAATACAAAACGAGAAAAACCTGTTTTGGCTGAGTACATTATGACATTAATCTTAGCAGTACCTGTATTTATCAATATTGTGCAAATGTAAAAATGCTTAAAATTATTTAATTTATTGAAGTTCGGTGCACTTAATAATTATTATTAGCTATTAGTATCTGTACATACTATTAAATTAAGTTATTCGCACCCTGAGACCTATTAATAAAAACATTGTTAGATGTAAATAAAAGATTCACAAGAGATGTGTGAAATACGAATAAGTTTATGGCCATTAGTTTAACTGTATTCACTGCCCAAGCCCTATCACACCCTTCTAAAAGTCAACGCAACAAAAGGAAGAAGTAGAATACCAAGAGACCACACAAACCAGGGTATCACAAAACAGTGACTACAAATGAAACCCATGGACTGGCCACTGTTTTCAGATCAAATGGAATTTAAATGTTTCTTTTTGCAAAGGGAATAAACCAGAGAAGCCAGAATCCAGGCCACACTGCTTAGAAAGCAATTACTCTCACAACTGAAACAACACTCCCTTACTGCATGTAGTAGCACTATCTTGATTGATTCTGTCTGATACGATTTTAATGTTATGTGGGCATGGGGGCAGGGCTGGGGAAAGGAGAGACAGGAATTAGACAGGAACTAGAATCAGCAGGATATCTGTTAACTTAGTAATATTTCAACCCCAAGTACCCCCCGCCCCCCGCAAGCGTCAAATCAAATAGAACCCATACAAAAGCCAACAGGTCCAGATTCAATCCCTCTTGGAGGTCACTGTATCTGTAGTCTTGGGTAAGGCATTACTCGGACAATGCTTGTCTCTGTCCAGGTGTATGAATGAGTACCTAATAAAATGCTCTGTAGGTGGCATGTAATGGAAAGTTGAAATACCCAGAGTCACTTCACGCCACATAAACCACATTTAAGAGTCGGCATTGAGCTTTGCATGCACAAAGGCTGTGAAGTCTGACAGATTATTTCAAACTCAGTCATTCTGCCTTTGACAAATGCTTACAACTATCACAATTTGGTTTACTCTTAGTTAGGTGTTCTGCATCAGCAGAGGGTTCTCCCTCTCCTAAATACTATTAGACACATTAATAAAGTTCATTCGCCCACACCATTCCCAGAATATCTTGATCCTTGTGTTTTAAGAGCATTTTGTACATGAGCAAAGTTACTCTGTCATAATTTAAGCACTGTTTTTACCAAAAATGCCCCAAAATCACTATGACAATGTCCCTCTTTACAAAGATCTGACGGAAGTGGAAATTTTCCATTAGCAGACACTACCTCCAGATTCTGGCTACATGAGGACGCAATGTTAACCCCTTATAAGTTTACATTTAAAGTAGAGATGTGTACCTGTTGTAGGAGGTAGCTTAAAAAGTCAAATTTTAAAATGTTGAATGATTTAGTCTCTTGGCTGTGCAACTTTACAAGTGGAGTGACTGGTTATAGTAAGATCTCAATTGTGTTTATTTACAAATGAACAATGAACCAATTGTCTTCAAATCTTTCTGATGCTCAATATGTACAACAATTCTTATTACAGTGAATTTCTCTCAATGTCTTTCATGATTTCTTCTTTCCCCTTTGTCATCTAATGCTCTTTGTTCTTCTGTGGAAGTAAAAAGCATCCATTAGAATTCTACAATGTACATGCAAGCCAAGAGGAGGAAATCAATATTTCTTTGAGAATTCATATGTTTCACTCCAGTGGCAAAACTATGATATGGTCAGTCACTGTCCTTACCGTGAAAATGTTGAAATAAGAAGTTCTTGGCATTGCCAGTTAATAAAATGTCTAGTAAGTTTATCTGAGAGAAATGAAGTACTTAAAGATCACACTTGAATTACAGTGAAATGTCGAAAAGTCCCTACTATATATTAGTTGACTGTGAAGGCATGGTCAAGAGAATACATACATGTAGACCTCAATCTCTGACTCACTGACAATTAAAGACAGGTATAAACTTACCAGGGCTGACTAATCCCTAAACTGGTTGAAATTTCCACAAGACTTGTAAACACCCAATATTGTGGCAAAACTGACCAATTTTATTTACAGTGTGACTGCTCGAATCGGGCCGCTTGGAAAAGAGTTGGCCAATCAGAACATTACTTAAGAACAAAGGATAACGATCTTTTTCTCAAATAAACTGATAACATTGAAGAATATGCACAACAGATCTTAATAACAAAATTGAAAACCCAACAAAGTGCGAGGTGTTGCAAACCTCTCAAGAAACTTTGCCATTTGTTGATTGGTTAGTTTCAATCCTAAATTTTGTATGCTTTTCAATGGTTTCAGTTTTGTTTTCGCAAAATGAGTTTTCAAGCTAAATGTTTTGAGCGAGATTTATAATTATGAAAATTTGCCGTCAAGGACTGAATCTCCAAGAGTGTATATAACGCAGAGGAGACAATGGTGTTTATGTTTTCATTTGCAACAGAAAATTTCGTGATGACATGCTACCAGTCCATTGGACGAGGGATGAGAGTTACTCAGACAAATAAGAATGGCAAAAGTTTGGAGCATTCATTACAATAACTACACTCATTAGAAGCAAAAAATATTCCTAAAATACAAGGAAAATAAAGCACATCATGAAATACATGCAGATAGTTTGCTCATCACTCAGAAAAATACAAAGTTACAAAATTTCCAGGTACAAACTGAAAACCACGTCAGGGCTCAACACTAACTTTTCAACTTACTAGCCTAGTGGCTAGTGACAACTTAGATGTTACTAACCAAACAAAAATTTTACTAGCCAAGCGTTGATGTTGGCTAGGTCCAATAACAGCAGAATTACTAGCAAGCAGCACCATGCAAGCGACTCTCTTTAATACATACCGGTACTGTTAGTAATTACATTGTACTTAAACCAGTTCCAGTAATAAAACAACAAGATGCCGTATGTTATATTTATAAAACAATGTGAAAAATCAAAAAGAGTGCATTAGCATTTTGGCGGTGGACTTTTTAGACTTACACCTTGTTCCTGAGCAGGTCGTTTCTTTTCAGAACTCTCGTTTTTTTGGCTTTTTCTTTCTTACTGCTGGTAAAAAACCCTCTTATATCCATTATGGAATTTTAAGAAAAACAACACAATGCAATTTTGCATCTGAAACCTCTTGACCAGTTGACATATCATCGGCACAGCTTGTGTCACGCTTGAATGGTAACGTTAACCACCAGGGCGAACGAATTTATCACCGAATTATGCCAGTTTTAATTTTGTTTAATTGCTTCGTGTTTTCCACACATCAAATCTCTCAGGCCAACAGATCACAAAGAAAAATCCAGTGATTTTCCTGAAAAGACTTTCAGAACTCTGTTTTTCTGTGAGACTTCCTTAGAGAAATGTCGAGACCCCAAGATGTCACTGTAAAAACTGTTGAGACTTCTTCAGTCTCTTCACAGTCAGGAGCTGTAGCAGTCAAACTGTTTCAAAAGCAGCATTAGTGAAGCTGGACTGCTAATAAATGTCGAAGGAAATAAATCTTTCTCATGTAATTGTTTCTGCAGTGGTAAGTTTTGTCAGTATGGACACAATGACAAATCACCTACACTGTATGTGTTGTTACACTAAATGAAATGATATCCCTTTACATTTGCGCACGATTTTGTACATGATTCTATCAGGATGCTCATGTTTGTTCTACTAATTTTGTAACAAAAAAAGAACATTGATGTGTGCTTTCAGAAAATGATGTCTTGTTCATCAAATATTTCTTTCAATATAATAGCATGTTCAGTTTTTATACCCTTTCAAGTACCACACAGCGAAAAGTAAACATGATATGTCCACAATGAAATTCTGACCTTGTTTCCGAGTAAAGTGTTAGTGTTTGACTTCCTTGAGGAAGACAGAAACTACATGTAGTTCGGCCAATTTCATTTTGGTTTACTAGCCAAAGTGGCTAGTGGAAGTCAAAAATGTACTAGCCAAAACTAAATTTCTACTAGTCTGTGGCTATTTGGCTACCGTTAGTGTCAAACCCTGCCACGTGTACAATGGGTGACAAAAGTAGTTGAGTGACTTTTAGAAAGTGATGCTTTTTGAAATTTAACATCTTATTCTAAATTTTATTTGGATAGCATTAATTCTCTGATACCCCCTGCCCTAATTCAATGATGTGTAGGTGCTATGGTCTATGCAGTCTTAGAAATTGAAAAAATCAACACTGTTTTGAGGAGAAAGGGCCAAAATGTTTCCAAGATATTCAAATATCAAATTTCACTGTGAAGTGTCTCAACACTGTTGTCACTCATTGCACATATGCTAAATCAACAAATCTACAATACCGGACAAAAATCTTGGGACACCAAGCAAGTTCTCCCCTCCCCAACTTACAATGTTGATAATCAGGTGATGTTATCCCTTTATGTTGAAAAAACACGACATTTTCCAACATTGATTAGGAGGGATGGGGGATACATGATCCACCTCAAGTGTACTTACTAATTTTGTCTGGGATTGTAGGAGTACATACACACGTAGGCAACACGTTAGTAACCTACCTGAAAAATGCTAAAATCTTATTTGGAATTCTAAAAACAAACTTCATCGCTTCCTGTCTCCTTCTAAGTGTTTGTCTGTTGGAGGTTACTCTTCTGTTGAATTCTGCAAATCTTCTATACAGTCGTGGAAATCCATAATACTAGAAAAAATAACATTACAAAATGACAATGTCATTGGGCTAGCACGACAGAGTACGCAGGTCTAATGTAAATCAAGCAGTAATTAACTTCAATACAAATTATTGAAGAAATTCTTTTTATAATCGCTTATGGCTCTTATAGTTTTAATAGATCTTAATTTTGCTCACAGTTGACAACCTTAATTTCAGTTAGTATTGTCATTACCTCTTCTTTGATTTTTTTTTCTTCCTTATCTATTCAGCATTTTAAGATTTAGTGCAGTTAAACTTGTTTAGAAAATAGCCCAAAGAAAATATATGCGCTGATTGGTTTAAAATCGTGTTTCTATAACTCAATAGAAACACAGAACTAGCATGAGCTGTTGACGTAATGATGGCGTGAGCAGAGAATTTACATTTTGATGACCAAAGTAAAGAAGTCATTTTTCTTTTTGTCATCGTGGTATTTTCTAAGAGAAATAGAAAACATGTTCTCCTTGTTTCTATCAAGTTACAGAAACACTCATGGAAGTTTGGGATAACTCAAAAAAGCTGTGGAAACACTCGCCTATCAGCTTGTGTTCCCACAGCCTTTCTTATTCTCCCAAACTTTCATTCATGTTTCTATAACTCGACAGAAACGTGGTACATGTTTTCTATTTCTTAAAGGTGATATAAGAATAAACAATAATAACAATAATAATTAAAGATAGTTTGCCACTTTCCTGCAAAGTGGTTAGTTGTGACTGCCGTACCGGTACTTAGGGCATGCAGAGCAGCTCTCAATATTTATCTTAAAACAACATAGTGGACACATGCAAACGTTAGAAAATATTTTGCTTGACGAAAACTTTGTTATGATGCCTTACAATCTTTCAAAGAAGTGACCTTGGCTATTGTTGTTGTCTTTTTTCTTTTACAAAAGCAGCATACCGTACTTGATTTTACAACAAAATTGTAAGTGGCGTTATATATTACGTCACCTCACATGAGGTTATAAACATATCCCATCTTGTCTTTAAATTTAACTCAAACATAGGCAAGCCATTGGGTCACCTTCATAGAAAACATGATTGAATAACACTTCAGTTATAGGCAGTTGCAGACGTTTTTCAACGTATTCTGCTAAATATCATAGCTCAAGAAAACATTCTGCCACAACTTCACAATGTCGCTACAGAGCTTACTTCAGTCGATGACCCTTGCAATTTTACATCTTACATAAGGACAGAGCCAATCTGTAAACCGACAAGACTGCACTTGCTTGTACTCACCCTTCCCACGGCATACACAGTGGCTTTTTTGCCTAAAGACACCGCTATAAGGGCTAAAATTTTCTCCATGAGTCACAATTTTCGTCAAGTTGCACATGTTCTCAAGTTAACTTAGTCACCGCGCCTTTTTGTATAAATGAAAAGGCCTGTGAACGACGCTAAACCGACCAATGCGCATCGAGGACAGAAATAGCATCAATTGCATTTGCATCGGTCCAGCCATCGGTCCTACAGCGATGGAATGAAATGGCATCAGAGTTATTCGGTTGAATCAAAGTTACAGGTTAAATTCCTGGGTGAAATTATAGATAGAGATTCCAAATAGATTAGATAGAGAGTCCAAATAGATAGAGTCTCCGAATGCTTCGTTGTGTGTATTCTAACGAATATTGTTATGTGAAAGTCCTGATTAGATACTTGGTCCACTCCACATTAGCTTCTCGTGAGTTTTATGCTGCTTTATAGTTTGGGAACTTTGAGAAAAAGAGAAACAGGTTGAATACCTGCTTAGCTGCACACACACACACACAAAAAAACTTTATTGCGACTAGCAGGCCAACACGTAAATATATATAGCCTCATAATTCTTTGGCAGCTTCGGACATCATTTGTTATTTTAATCGAATTTACCCTTACTTTTTTTATCTACAGCCTCTAAATAAAATTCGCTGCAGAATTAAAACAAAATCTATCGTCGAGACTGTTTCATCATCGGTCAATGTAAATCGCAGGCTGCAGACTGTAAACTGCAGACTGCGGACTGGGGGTAAAATGCAGACTGAGGGTAAAATGCAGACTGTAGACCTGGGATAAAATGCAGACTGTGGCGTTTTTAACTGAATCGTTTTACCATTTCCATCATTGAGAGCTAACCGTAAACAGGCTAACCCGAGGGATATTCAGTCTAACCGAAGTGATATTCAGACTAATCGGAGAGCAGACTTTCACTGCGATTAGCCTGAATAATCCTGTTTACGGTTAGCACTCGATAATGGAAATAACCGATACATACTTAAAAAGTCTGTAGTCTGTAATTTGTATTTTACCCCTGGCCTGCGGTCTGCATTTGACCCTCAGTCTGCATTTTATTCCACGGTCTACAATCTACGATTTACACTGACCAGTTTCACCATGGGTGAATCTTGTCACCATTAACTAATTTTCAGCAGGAATTTTCTGGAAACCGAAATCAATGAAAAAACTATTTTGTTAATAAAGGATGTAATGTATGAACTGCAGAAATGCACTACATACATTACATACATTAAGTAACAAAATACTTGTATTATGTCTTAACTGTATACTGTAAGTACTGAAACTGAAACAACATCCAACTGTTTTGTAACTCTATTTCTTTGTAGTATACTGTGAAACTGATGTATCTCCTAGGTGTTTGTAATAAAGTTTGCATAATAATAAAAAAGGAATTTCTTTTCTTTTTTTCTGGCAATCTTGCTCACATTAAAATAATATGAAGAGAGCAAATTATTATCCTTCCCAATCAGTCAACTTTGCAATCAAGGCAAGTGTGAAAATATTCTGGGCTCCGGCGGGATTAGGCGGCTTTGACGATAATCCTACACCGTACTGTATATGCTTCACTCGTTTACATTACTTGGCACAAAAAGGCAAAAACGTCTATATAAACATAATGACATGTTACCTGACGGATCCAACAAAAACCTAAAGGGTGATTCGTCACCGTGTAATCTTTACTTTCCTCTTAACATTTTAATTTAATTGATAACTTATGTACATTCAGTACACATTTACATACTTACTTTACAAAATTACATTATTTACACCACTCACATTGCAATACTCGATTTACAGTACATTATTTACATTCCTTGCAATACTAGTCACTTACAATTTCATACCTTAGTTTTTTGCCTACTCTGCAGGTTACTTTCACTAATAAATGCACAATATTCTACTTATAATTAAATACTTACATTGCTTACTTTTTTTCCCTTATTAATTTATTTCCTTATTTATTTATTATGTTCTGTTGCACAGCAAACAAACAAACAAACAAAACAAATAACAAAATTAACATGTGCAATTGACTGGGCTGTAACTCCTACTCTACACTCCTATTTACATCGCTAGTAGCTATGCAAAAATTGGTCAAGAGTTTACTTACATTTAAGATTGACAATAAATTCATCTGCCATGCAAAAATATTAATTGGCAGATAAAACAAGGAGTAGATTACGCAAAAATTGGATTGTACAAAAAACAGCAACAGCAGAAAAAAAAAAGAGAGAGAGACAAAAGGGGAGGACAAATAACTAAGTTGACATGTACAATTATTGTAACCAGTGCTTTACATTCCTATCAACATCATTACTACGGCTACACAAAGAATTTTTCGAAAATATATTTTTGCTTAAGATTGACTATAAATTCATTTACAGATAACTCGCCATGTATTAATTTCTGATTGTACAAATAATATTTGGCATATAAAAAGGTGAAGTTTAACTTTCTGATAATGTTTGATTCCTTGCTTAGCTTGAAGCGTCAACTTTCATACCAAAACTTAATTCAGTTGGTGAAAGGCTAAAGGAGGTGATATTTTCTTTGTTGAACCATTTTATGACCTCTAAAAAGAAAAATTAGCTCCAATTATCGCCATAGAAAGTGTGAATCGTGGAATCATTCATTTCAAAATATAGACACGTTGTGTCCTCCGCCTCAACAAAGAGGAATAATGTAAAAGTTTGAAATAAAAGTCTGCATCTCATTGAATAAGAATAGCAACCATTGTTATATACCTCGTTCTTCAAAGCACGCCGACACATGTAAATGAAGTGGCTGGGTATTCTGAAGTTGCTCCAAATTCCATAAGTTTGTTATCTCACATAGACTTTCCACGCGGCTAAAAAATAGGTTTTAGAGATGTTTGATCAATTTGCAGGTCTCTTTCCCATTTAGAGTTAGCCTTCAGTTCGATTGGTTCTTTGTTTATGAGGAGCCGATAATAGTCTCTATTTTTCATTTTCGTTAAATTTATGGCGATCCCAGGGGAAAGCTGAAACATACTATTTAACAGCAGATCTGGTCTTTCCGTGTTTTTTTTTTTTT